GCCCTGGGCATGGCCATGGGCATGCAGCAGGGCTGAAGCACTGAGAATGTCTGAAGTCAGTAAGTTTGGCCACCCCTGCCCTAGACACTGCCTCTAGCTGATATGTTGATATCTTTAAAAAAAAAATCAATGTTTTGTTCAGTAGTTTGGCCAGGTTGAGATGTCTGGAATAGAATATTTATAACGGAGGGGAAGGGAAATCCCTGATTCCAGAATCCTTGCTATGCCATGTGAGAAGAGCTGATGGCAGCTTTGAAGCTGCTCAAGAGACTTGACAACTGTGATATTATTCCCCTCCCTGGAATCCAGTGCCTTAGTCCAATGTATGGCCATGGAAGCCCATTAAAATACACTTGTGGAGAATGGCTGGGATTACCTGGAAGTTAAAAAGCTTAAGAAAAATGTTTTAAGAGAGAAAATAGGAATGCTCTGGATATATATCAGATCTTTGAAGAAAGCCATAATCTCAGAGCCACTGAAGTCTGCTTTTCTTCAAGCGTTTGCAAGATGCAAGTTTCCACAGGCTTTCTGAATACAACATTTCTGTATCTTATGTATTCCAAACACTGAATGTGCTCTCTGAAATATTCTTGAAACTATACATGAAAGAGGCTCATGCAGAAAAATGAGAATATACCACGATACTCTCACATTCGCCACAGTTGCAGCAATTGAAGCGATTCCCCACATTCTATTTCAAGTCCACACAAATACCAAGTTTCTATTAAGTCATATAACACCTGCATATGGTTGTTTCAGGAGACATGTGGTATCAGTGAACAGAAGTGACAAATTAACCAAAATATAGCTCTTTAAAATGTAAGTGTACCTCACAAAACTGGTGCAACAATGAAGATGGCAAAAAATCCTGAGGCTCTAAGAGAACAGGAGGTCCAGTCCAATTGCTCTGAACAAACAGCTGTAAGCTGCCAACTCCGAGAAGAAATATCAGTCTTTGTCTGCAAGAAAGGTAATCAACGTAATTACAACAGATATTTTTCATCAAAAAACATATTAGGACATATTTAGTGACATACTAATTTAAAAATCTTTGCAGCCTTAAAATTTGCTATTTTTCTGAAGCAAAAAAAAATGAATTCAGTCTCCCAAAACTGTAGAGCTGTATAGGAAAAATAAAGAATATGGATATCAAGAAAAGAATAATGATAATTAATAATTGCTTCCAAAACGCTAATATTAAGTATCATGCATATGCCAATCTCTATTAGAATCCAGAGAAAAGCCTACTGTGGGGAGCAGATTATTCCACAAGATTCTTATATCTTCTTCTGTAGCTTTTGGAAGAGGCTGAATACTAGACTACATGGCCTTTGGGTGTGATTCAGTATGTCCATTCATATGATCTGGTCTACTCCACAAAATTACATTGACCTATTTGTGCATATGTCTTTGCTATAATGGGTCTCCCATTGATATAAGTGCCCCATTGTGCCAACACAGTAACACCACCTCCCAAAGTGGCATAGAACCATAGTCAATGTACTTACATTAAAGAAGCATGAATGCAAACACTGTGTTACTTGTGTCCACCCTAACTGTTCACCAGAAACTATCCCACCCTGATCACTTGAATCCCCATTCTGAATTCTACTGCCAAGAAGTCATACAGATCAGAGTCATTCCCCCTGCCCTTTAAAAGACCACAACATTTTGAAATGTTTGTTCCAGACTGCCCCACTTGACAAGCACATTTAGTAGTTCGCCATTGTTGAGTGGAACTGGCCAGCTAATGATAGCATCATAGAAGATTAGGATTGAATGAGACCTCAGGAGGTCATCTAGTTTAAACCTATGCTCAAACAGGACCAACCTCAACTAAATCATGCCATCTACATGCTCCCGGCACATCCTGCCTGGAGCAGACAGATTTTTGCATCTTCTGGGCCTGTAGGGAGAAGTGGCTGTGCAGGCACAGCTCTGAATTGGCCTTAGAAATGTCAATGTCTATGAATAGATTCTTTGGTGAATGCAGAAGGGGGTACAACAGGGACTAGAAGCAGTATCCTGTGAAAGTTAAGGAGCTGCAGCAGCTATGCAAGAATACCAGGTGTGCCATGCTTGGTATCCCTCCCTCCACGGATACCTCCAAGAAGTTCAAGTCACAGGCCTCTGCCAAGAACAGCAAGAAGGATGTGAAAGAGGACCAAAAAGTATGGGCAAACAGGTGCATGAGGGATCCAATCGCACAGCAAACCAAGACCTGTTTTTGACTCCATTCCAGCCTAATGCAGGGTACTTGCATAGACTGTAACAAAGCAACAGCATTCCCAAAAGAAGAACCATGTCCTTCGATTTTTCATTAATTTACTTGTGCTAGAGTAGGAAGTGATACAACCAAGAGAGATAGAGATGCTATCTGCTTTTCATTCCCTTAGAGCAGTGGTTCACAATCGTGGGCCATATGGCTCCCCAGGGGCCATGCCCTACCTCTAGGGGCCCCATGGAAAAAACGGAACATTAGGTAAATTACATACCTTTTTTCCAACTAACAGTGGCTATGAGGGGGGCCACAAAGGTAAACGAGGCTCAGAAGGGGGCCATGAGCAAAAAAAGGTTGAGAAACACTGCCTTAGAGAGTTAGGTGTTACTCTGTCTTGTGCTGTAGGGTACTTTCCATGCTAGTCTCTGTACTGCAGTAACTTTGGCAGACACCGTTGCAGTACTCAGACTCAGGATGATGTGTTCAATAAGATCCTGAAATCCAGTACTGCACTGGACTGTGAACACTGCAGACAGCCTGGAGCAGAAAAGAGTGGAGAGGAAAAAGGCCCAGGAGTCGCAGCAGGAAAAGGAGAAAGGGTTGCACAGGGACATCTGAAGTCTGTGGCCCTGTAGATTCAATCAATTTCATGCTTGCCTCCCTTTGTAGCCCATTGAGCCCGGTGGCTCTTAATACATTTAAAAAGCAGAGGCACAGCGTCTGGGACCAGGTGTGAGCCGGGACAGCCTCTACTCCCCACTACACCAACTATGCTGGGTCTGCTCCTCTTGCCACCACTTTCTCTTAAAAAAACTAAACAAAATAAAACCATTTTCATAACTCGATTCAATTAGGAATCTTTCAACTATATATTACTTGTGACAAATTACAAACATTAAATCCAGATAGATTAACATCTACTGTTAGAGAACTTAAATGTACTGTACAAAGAAATTTTCTGTAGAGCATTTACTACAGACAGGAGAAGAAAATAGTTCTTACTCATAGGAAATAGTCCTTAAGTTAAGATGCGTCACCATCGTCTCATATTATGTAATGTAAACATTGTGTTTGTCATTTTTTGTGGTACTTTAATTATTGACACATATATCATCTGATGTTTACAAAGTTACAAAAAAATCAATTGCTTGTGGATGGAGAGGAAAGCGGAAATTCATTTAAAACTGATTACAATTCTTGATTCCAGTTGCTTTAGACAAACACACTGCCAACTATGAGCGCGACTTCAAAAACACCACCATGAACTGCTATGTCAAAATACCATAGTGAAAGAAATCAATAATGAATTAAAGTTTCTAAATAGATGTTCTTATGTTTTACCTCAGATTTGTTTTCCTGAATCAAAAAAATGTAGTGATCATTTTTTACAGAAAATAAAATTACCTCTAATAATACTAACATAGTCTCTACTAATCTCATATATTAATAAATCATTTATTTCCACCTTTCCACATTATCAGCATCAGCAGCAGAACAGTTCAGGTATGCTAAAATCTGCTTCTCCAAGTAGGTGTCAATCTTGTCTTCTGTCATTGTAAATGTAGTGAAAACATCCTGGATCACTTCACTTAATAAAATAGCTTCATAGTTGCATTCAAAATGCAATTGCAGTAAGGATTCGCTTCCTAGAATTAAAAAGAAAAAATAGAGTGTGTTGACAGCAACATGTAAAACAACAGATGGTTAAAGTTTTGGTTTGAGTAGGTCTTCTATGCCTTCAAATATTTCCCATTCATCTAGGGGAAAAAAGAATCTTCATCCACCTGACATTAAATGTAAACAACATGGTCTTTAAACAGATCAGCATCGGCAGACTGCCTTCTTAATGTTCAAGCTAAGTTTAACAAATCAATGCTACCTTTTCCCAATTAAAATAAGTGATCTATGGAGTTCAAGCACAAGCAATCATATTTCTCAACACCACAAAGGAAGCCTCAAGTTTCAGAAATAAGACCAGAATATATTTTGTGTGTACTGGACCTACATATTAAAACTAAATAGAAAGATGTAATGGTCTTGAGACCAGAATTTGTCCAAAAAATGTCTTAAATGCCATAAGTAAATCACTGAGATGCTAGCTCTGCTTCACAAGCTAGAAAATCTTTTCAAAGTTCATGAGATAATTTTCTAACAAGAAAAGAGAAAGGATTAGTTCACTTATAAAAAGGAGTTCAAAGAGTAAGTTTCCACATTACATAGTGTATATCACACCCCTTTCTTGTATCCGCCAAGGATATTCATAAGGAATGAGCAAGATAGTTTCCTTTTCTATATAAGAATGTATTTACCATTGTAACTTTCCCATTTATCATTAAGAAATTTGCATATGAAATGAGGTTTTCAGAACTGATCACGCTAGGCCTAAATCTATTCTCAATGAAGCACTGCAAAAAACTACTATCCTCCAATGCAAAAAAACTTCACACACATTTAGGAATGCTTCTCAAACAGCACTGGTCTAATTTCCCTTATAAGGGAAAAAATAGTATGCCTACTTTACTGCATGTCAGTACACTTTATACTCAAGAAGCATTGGACCTTGGTAAGTACAGCAAAACTTGGCCCAAGATTTCTGAATCTGACCCATATTCTTCCTGAGCAAAGTGACAGGAGAAATTGTGGTAACTCAGCCAAAGAGCCTATCCCTGTTCAGGGATGGCATGTGATAGTGTCATCACAGCAATGAAAAAATCCACCTTGGACTAGAAATGTTAAATATTGGTTAATTGAAGTTCAGTAACCTCATGAATTGGTTACTTGACTACCATGAACAAGTTATGGACAAACACTTGGTCCGTAACTCGAAGTGTTTGTAACTTAGATCCCATAGAGTTACATGGCGACTGCGCTGTTCGTAAGCGCAGATCGCCATTCATAACTCGGATCCTTATTTATGACTGCTTTGGTCCTAAGTGCAGATGGTCATAACTCAGGGAGCGACTGTATTCCATAATCCTCAGGGACTGGACTAGCAGTCAGTGCGATCCTGCCCCATTCCTGAGGAGCTCCCTGCCACTCTGCGCTGCTGCCTCTGTAGCGTGAGGGTGCCAAGCGGGAGCTGGCCCATGAGGGGAGCCAATTTAAAAACCAGCTCCCCGCACAAACAGGCTGCCTGTGACCCCGTGTTGCTGCCTCTGACACAGGGGTGGCAACAGCCCCTCTCGGGGGAGGAGGGGTGTCTGAGCTCCTGGCCCCAGCGTGAGCTGGAACTGAGGTGGGCTGCCTGCCTACCTTCTAATACTCTTTAAATGCAGAACTGCAGCAGGGATAGGTCCCAGACTTGTTGCAAGCCAGGACTGAGACAGGCTGCTGGCCAGCCTGCTAAAATATTTACTGGCTGGAGCACAGGGGGGTTGAGGAAGGGGGAGAAACACATGTAGTATATAGCATTAACCTATAAGCTATTGCTTATTGGTTAATTGACTACACTATTACATCCCTACCTTGGTTTTAACATAGGCAGATCCCTGAAAATCCACAGATATGCTCAGGCACCCACATCCATGGATGCTGTTATGTGTGGCTCATATTTGCAAATGTGTATACAAATTTAGAACCCAGCAAATCTGCTTTATATCCTTGGATGTGAATGTAAATATCTGTAGTAGGGATGTTAAATATTGGTTAACTGAATAGTGAAGTAACCTCTTGAATTCTTATCGGTTAGTCAACTATTCTATAATCCCTAGTCAGCCTCTTTCCGAAAGGAGGGATCTGAGCTCCCAGACCCGGCATGAGCTGGAATTGAGCTGGGCTGCCTGCCCACCTGACTCCTAATATGCTTTAAATGCAGAGTGGGGGTAAGTCCAGGACCCAGAGCAAGGCTGCTGGCCAGCCTGCAAAACAATTTACTGGCAAAGGGTATGTGTGTGTGGAGGAGGGTGGGGAGGGGAGAGGAATGCATGTATTCTATAGCATTAACCTATAAGCTTTTGCTTATCGGTTTATAGACTATACTATTACATTCCTAATCCACAGATCATTTTTGCAGATGTGCATACCAATTTTGTATTCATGCAGGGCTCTAAACATAAGCTCTGAGAACCCATCAAACCTGCCCCTCATTCAATAAACTAACTTACATACAGTACTATCAAATCAAGTTCAAGATATTGGGCCTTAACTTCGAGGTGTTCAGTAGACTAGAACCAGCATATCTGAAAAATCACTTACAGCTTGAGAATGAAGACCATGGTTGACAACTCCACTTCTGAGTCTTTATAATAAGGGTGAAGCACAAATGCCCAATGTCTACACTGCAGTTTTATAGCACCACAACCCTAGCCATGCAAACCCAAGTCAGCTGAAACAGCCCAGTCATTGGCATCAAATACAGGAAGCTACTGTTGGGACAAGCTAAACTGTGTCATATTGAAGTCTCAAAGGGATAGCCATGTTAGTTGGTGACTTACAAAAACACACAAAAAATGAGTAGTACTGTAGCACCTTAAAAATTATAGTATCATGAGCTTTTGTGGAAAATATCTGTCATTTTGAATGTGTTAACACTGCAAAAAGGTGGGGTCTAACTCAAGCTCCTACAGTTGAAGACACAGTAACACAGCTTGGTTAGTGGTTCAACCCCAAACTCCTCCCACTGTAAAGTGAACGTGTGATTGTAGCAGAAACAAACATACCCGTGATTAGCTCTAGTCTAGCTACCACGGATAGCAACGGTAGCAGGCATAGCAATAGGTGCTTGCAACCCCAATGCCTACGCTGCTATTACTACCCATGCTGGCTAGATGAAGCTCCACAGAACTAACATACTTTCCATGCAGACACAACCCTATGGGTTTTAACTAGCGGGCTAACCCTGTGAAGCGATGCTACCTGAGCGCTGTTCAAGAGCAACACGAGACCATTCTCCACTACCCCGGAGACCAGCGGCAGAGCCAGGAACGCCCTGCAGCGCTCAGGTGCATGTGACGTTGTTGCCGTTACAGGTAACCCCGCGCTGTCCCGCAGGCTGCGCTAAGGCGGGGACGGTAACCCTGCCCCACAGGACACGCCGCAGAGCCGGGCAGGCGCAGCATCACCTGCACGTGACGTCCCACTGGCCAGCCGCAGGTACCCCGGCCCGGCCCAGCCCAGCCTCTCACCTGCCGCGGTCACCTCGCTCTGCTTGGCCCGCCGGGACTCCGCCGCGCTGGGGAAGCCCCTCAGGAGCGCCCACTCCAGCGCCCACATTCTCCACTTGTCCGCTGCCGCCGCTGCCTCGCTCTCGCTCTCCTGCCTCACCCCCAGCCCGGCTGAGGCGCGGTTCCCTCACTGACCGCAGCCGCCTCGCTCCCGACCCATGTGCCACCACCGGCCTCAGGGAGCCGCCATGACAGCTGCGCGAAGCACGTCGGGACAGGCGGC